AAGTAAGGAGGAGATTGTCTAGAATCTCAAAGAATTATTAAATACTAACAAGACTTCTAAAAGGTACATTTTAACTGGAACTAAACAGTAACCCCAGAAAGAGAAAGTGAAGAAAGAAGAAAGTGCTAAAAGAAACAGCTTATTTGGACTGTTTGGTGACTTTGGGACTTTTGGAAATTATCTTTGACTAAAAACACTTGGGTGGTTGTTTGGAAAAACTTTTTCTTTCTACAATGGCATCACTTGTGGATGAATTGAAAATTGAATTCAAAAAATATAAAGAAGAAGAACAAGAAGGGAAAGACTCTCTTGGCACTCTTTTTCAATTCTTAGAAATGGCGATTTGCACCTATGAGAAACTGACTGTGCAACAAGATGATTGGGATAAAGAAGAAGCCATCTTTGATGAACAAGTAACTTTATTTGGGGAAGAAAGGGAGAAAGAGGAAAAGAAAAAGGGGACTTTAAGACTTGAAAAAACAACCAAAAAAGAGAAAAATAAGGTGAAAAGTGGATATAATGTTAGAAAACAACAGAAAGGGGGAAAGCAGAAGAAGAAAAGGGAGGTGGAGAGACAAAGGGGTAAAAAGGGCAGGGAGAAGAACAAGCAAGGGAGGAAGGAAGGGATGAGAAGCCTCAATGGTGGGGAGCAAGATGTAAAGAAACAAGATTCATTTAGAGATAATGGGTAAATTTAATTGAAAAAGGGATTCTGCAAAGGTACATAAGATTGTATTGTTATATTTGTATTTAGAAATAATGTTAGAAAATTGGAAACAACATCTGATCAAAAAATGGGATAAAATATTTAGTGTAACTTAGTGAAATTTTTGTGAATAAAAGGAAGGCAATGAAATAAATGAGAGAATTGAAGTAGGAGGAAATGGGAACATTTTAATGATACAATGATTTAAAATATAAGTGATGTGATGTGGGGGGAAAATAACTATGGAAAGTATAAGTGTTCCCATAAAAGTATGATATTCAATTGAAAAGTAATGTGTAAAATGTTTAAGATTTAAATGAATATTAATATTAATGATTAGATTTGAATTGGCATGGATAGTTGTTTTAATTATATTATATATTTATACATTTTTTCTTTTTATAAAATATGTGTAATTTTAGAATGTACTAAACAGAATCCCAATGGAAGTCATGTATTATATTAAGTGTTATAAATTTAGGGGAAAGAGTTAAAGGCGTCACACTCCAATCAGTGTACAGGAGAAATTTTGTTTAAAGAGAAAAGATAAATAGATAGCTGTAAACAGAACAGACAAAGAATAATAAGCATTATGATCTGAACTGAGATGAGATAAATAAAATAAAACTAAGAAAGTTAAAAGAGGTGAGAAGCTATATAGAAAATGGAAAATGGTAATAAGATATGGAATGGTATATAAAATGAACATGAATTTGAATTTGTGTCTGTACGAAGAGATGTAACCCGGGATCAAGCAACTTTCAGAAAAGATGTTTTATGCTTTTACGTTTTATGTTTTGTTTGTTTGTGTATTGTCTTTGAAAATCAATAAAATTTGTTTAAAAAAAAGAGAATAAGTTATAGCAATTATATCTTAGGCTATTCTATCATATTATTCCTTTCTTTTCCTCTTCACTTTAATATCATCCCTCCTGTCCTCCCTGTTGCTTTTTCTCTTCTTTTTCTTCTCTAATATTGGTGATTCAGTTAATTCTACACCTTATATAAGATTGAATTAACTTTGAATAATATATAATACTATAAGTTGGAGAGGTACAAAGATACATTTTGAAGGAAACTATTGAATAGAATTGACAACAAGAGGGAAATTAAATAGTGAATGGTCAAGCGGGAAGGTATCTACAACAAAGTTAGGAACATGACTAGTATTACGACAATGACTCTGAAAGGGAAAAAAAACAATTTCTGGCTCATCAGTGTCTATCGCATCCCCATCTGGCCAAAAAACAATAGAAGGAATGTTGAACACAGAAAAACAAGCAATGCTGCTAACATGCAGACAGTGCAAGCAACATTAACAGCCATCCAGGAAACGATGCTCAAAATGCAGGAGACAATGGTAAACAATCACACTGATATGAAGACAGAAATGGGAGAAATTAAGAGTAAGATTGAAAATCTGGATGAGAAGATTGGAACGATCCAACAGACAATAGAAAAGAATGAACAAAAAATAAGGAATATAGAAACCAAAGCTGAACAAATGGATAAGAGACTGGAGGGGATGGACAGGAAAGTAACAGAAATGAACAGAGATTTAGAGGACTTGATCATCCATCTTGAAGTGGACAGTGCAGCATTCTATCTGGGGTTCCAAAATGTATTGGAATCTGGGACTTCTGGTTTGAGTTCCTTTGCTGACAGACCGAAACTGCGATTGTGCGCCGTTTTGATCTGTGCTCACCACCGCAGAGCCCCAAGCCAGCTGGTTTTGGGGCTAAGCCACCCCACAGAAGTGGTGAAGAGGGGGGAGACTGCCAGCAGGGTTGAGGAGAGCCGCATCTCTCCTCCTCAGCTGGCCATTACTCCCTTTCCCAAAGTTGGTTGCAGTGGTGGTCAGAAATGGCCACCTCAAAGAAGAACTCAACCAGAAAAGAATGTGCAGGAGGAAGATACGAAGAGAAAGTCTTGGTTGACTGGGTTAAACTGCAAAAGCAACAACGTAAGGTACCCTGGAATTTATAAAATATAACATTGTTCCCAAAGAAGATTTTGAAGCAGCAAAGGAGGGAGAAGAAGAGAGGGAAGAAGGAAAGGAAAAGAAGTTATAAAGGACAGAAACAAGATATAGAGAAACAGGGAAAAGGTATAAGAATTGAAAGTATAAGCCTGTTTAGAGATAATGGGTGAAAACTTAATTGTAATTAATTGTAACCTTCCCTCAGGAGTGGGGTGGGAATGGAGATTTTACAGTATCCTTCCTCTCCCACGCTTAGTAAGTCATGCCCACCAAGCCACGCCCACAAAAACGGTAGTAAAATATTTTTGAATCCCACCACTGCCACATCCCTCACCTTGTTGTGTCACTGCCACATCACCATCTGTCCCATTAAAGTGAATGGGACTGTCGGTGAGTCAACAGCAGGTCAGAGGACAGAGATGACAGTTGCTCTTTAAAAATTTCGATTTAAATCAAGTTGATTTAAATCAAGTCTTTTTTACTAGTGATTTAAATCATGATTTAAATCGACTGATTTAAATTGATTCGACTTAAATCAAATCCACCCTGTGTTCTCAAAAAATGTAAAACAAAAACAAATACAAACAAATACAAACACAAGAAACATACACAAAAGACAGGAAAACATGGGGTATTAATAAAGAGTTAACAATTCTGGATAAGCTTCTGTTACGAGACCGATGATAACTTAATAAAAATATTGTATAGATATTTATTAGAATGCAAACATGAGGAGGAACATGTTAAAGAAACAATGGTGGCATGGGCAAAAAATATCGGTTATAATATTGAATTGGCTAAATGGCAAAAACTCTGGACCACTAATACTAACATTGGACACGGCATACGAGGAAAATCTTTATAAGATATTTTACAGGTGGCATCTTCCACCAGCAAGGCTTTCCAAAAAGTTCAAAAATATATCTCCAAATTGTTGGAAGTGCAAAGATGTATCAGGCACATTTTTTTTCACACGTGGTGAACTTGCAATGCTGCAAAAAATATTGGAGACTGATTCAGACATGGGTGGAACAAATGGTGGGATAGTGCATTCCATTTAAACCTGATTTTTTTTCTCCTAGGAATAATATCAGAAAGATATAGGAAGGATTTAATTTATCTAATAGTACATGTATTGATGGCGGCTAGAATAATACATGCACAACACTGGAAAAAAGAAAACATACCACCAGAAACAGAGATAATAAGAAAAATTATGGCATGTGCAGAATTAGATAGGTAAACTCTAGAATTAAAAAACAAGGGAGAATCCAAGTACTATGAAACATGGAATAAATTCTATCAAAGGTTGGATAGAAGAAGGCAAGGTCAGAACGTAAGTAGCTATGATGATTAGAATAATTAGTGACTAATATATCAAACAAGGAGATTGTAAATGGTGAAGTGAAATGTATATATGTATAACAATTGTAATTCTTATAATTAAAATAAAAAAAAATCGCACCATGTAAAATAAATCACTAGGCCTTTTGTGTAGGTGGTAATAACTGAGCTATGTGGTATCTTAAGCTATGTAACTCTAGTTAGGGTTGGGGCAGACAAATATGTATAACAATTGTAATTCTTATAATTAAAATAAAAAGAAATAAATTAAAAAAAATCCCACATGGTAAAATAAATCACTAGGCCTTTTGTGTAGGCGGAAATAACTGAGCTATGTGGTATCCTAACCTATGTAACTCTAGTTAGGGTTTGGGCAGACAAATATG